CAAACACCTCAATTTTTATTTATGCAACTGGGTGTATCACACCAGCATAAAAACTCTCAGACCTGGCTATAAACTTCAACTTTGACCTGCCACGCTCATACCAGGCCCTATTTAGAGACAATTGGAAATTACGGTATGTTATACTGGTGTCTGAGAAAGCACTGCCCATGAAAATGGAAGTACGAGACCGAGGAACTCATATTCACTTATGACCCAAGCCAACAACTGAATCCAAACTTCTAAGCCAAATACCAACTATACCACCTAGAAACCATTCACAAAGTAATATGAAAGCCTCACAAAGAAAATTACTGATCCAGTTTTCCAGAAAGCTAAACACTTCCCCACTCAACACAAGACAGTAATATTGGTTATACACATTAGACACATTGAGTCTGAATTTCCATAGATGCATTTGCATATTCAGTACATTACACATACATTTCCTTTTTCTCCTCACAAGTATTTTCAGTGTTGAATGAACATTATTTATTCAATTGCATCATTATTATTTTTGAATGAATTCTATACCGCAATTAGAAGTATCTACACCTACATGCTTATCTCTGGGTTCATGTCATCCAGTGTTGTGACAATTAAAACAACTGGCACGCAAGGTCATAGCTAATACCAAAGTATTTTGATGCATAATTTAATTTCACTTAAAACTTACGTATGTATTTTCCTATTAATTTCTTTAGAGAGTCTCTTCAGAATTCTTTATAGCCCTAACATCATTCCCCTGAAACCTTTCCATTTCCATGTTCTGAAGATTTTAAAATCCCCAAAATAATAAAACCTTGTCTCTGGCCCACTGAAAGATGAAGACTGTGAAAAAGTAGCACAGCTTCTCTATTCTTTAGAATAGCCAAGGTTCATTAATAATAATTTTGGCAGAGAAAAAAAAGTAAAGGAAAACATGTTATAAAATGTTACTTTCTCACAATAACTAGAAGTTGCTTTTTATTTTCAGAGACGAGAAAAAGGGTAGCTGTACCACAGAGAGCTTAGAAAGTACTATCTTTCAAGATACACTAGAAATTCCAGGTGACATCATTTTTGGCCAAAGCTCAAAGGCTACTGTGAAGGGATACAGCTCTTCCCAATTATTCCCTACATAAAGATCAAAATGAAGGCAAAGGGCCAATTCTTAGAGATGCCTCATCCCAAATGTGCTATGTGATTACCTACATACTCATCACATATGTGGGAAGTATTTTTTTATCAGTAAAGCCACAAATGCTCCTTAAGCAGAACTGAAGCAACTGCCTCTTCTCCCCCACTCTGCTTTCTCCAATAACGATGACCATCAAAGACCAAGGTGGTTTACACAAAGCAGTGTTGATTCTACTTAGGCAACACTGGATCAGTTAAAAACAGCATTTTAAGGCCGTGTTGGTTTTTAGGGGTATGCATCCTGTCACCCAGAGTACTAGTTTTGTTCCAAAGAAGCATAATGAAGTTTTAAAAGCCAGGACATTTTTTTTAAGCCTCTGACTGTACAGAGAAGTTATACCAATCGAATCCAAATTATTTTTAAACTGGTTCTGACTGCCTAAATGCCTAAGCAAAAGCAATTTACATTCACATATTTTATTTTGCAGTTGAAGTGGGCTAGGAATGCACACCCACTCAGTCAATCAAGAGTATGTCTTCAAGCTACAATAGCTTGATTACTTGCAACTGCTTGTCTCTACCTGAAAAGAGCTAAACTGATTTTGAACCAGCCAATTCAGGTAAGCTCACACTTCTGAATTTACCTCTGAAAACCAGCAGCAACCAGTTTCAAGTTTCCACAATGAATTTCCCACTACTATAATTACATCACCTTCACTTATCTTTAAGTATATGGTTAGATACCACAGCACACCTTTTTGTGACTCTAAGTGTCAGAGGATGAGCATTAAGGAATTAAAAGCATAATTCAAACACACAGCTCTCTCAACTCCCATGGTAAAAAAATTACTCTCTTTAGTGCAAAATAAGCTGTCCCACAGAAGAGAAACCGGAGTGATTCCTACACACTGTCCAACGTCACAGCTCTGGCTGATTTGTTCATCCCTTGCGGCAGCTCCGCAGGTGCGGTGCGGGGTAGCCATCACTGACTTTCCCACGTCCCCGAAGGCGGGAGAGCAGCAGCCATGGGGAGGCGAAGCCCCTGCCCAGAACACTGAGGGGCCAGTCCTTGATCCCCTGACAGGGCCCAGCTCCGTCCAGGCCCCCCTCCATCATGCTCTTCAGTCAACTCCATCTCATCTTCAGGGACATACTTAAGCTCCAGGAAGAGAGATCACCCACCCAGGGCCACACAGTTCCCTCGCATTTTGGGTGGCCAGCAACGGGCTGAAGCGTGCATGCGCTGCCTCAGGCTCTCCCTCTCTACGTAAAGCTTGTACCTGTTTACACGCCCACTTCCCAACGCCTTCCCTCCACATTTCCTCCCAGATAACCCCAAGGAAAAGGGATGGCCCCTGAACACTCTGTCCTGTGACAAAACACCACCTGGTAAGAAAGGCTTTATTAACAAAGACATATTTAGCACTGGAAGCAGTTTCTCTCTGGCCTTCCTGTCATTCCCGATGCAGTACACAGACACAAGACCAGGGAGAGAGTAATGCTCAGGTGCGGGACTTTAAACTTGGAAGAAATCAGCGAGCCACACTAGGGAAAAATTATCCTATGCCTGGGAAAGAGCCTTTTGCAAAAGTCACAGGAGTGGAAGGCAGCAGACACTGGTGGGAAAATACCTGTATGAGGGAAGTAACTAGTCTGACAGAGCTAGATACAGAAGTTTTAAACAACAGAACAAGTAACATACAAAGCAGAGCTGTGCAAACTTTCCAGCGTTGAAGTCCAACAGCGCTATGAAAATAATACCATAGCCTTGGCCTTTTCTGCTTAAATAACAAGCTGTAAGCAAGAGCCAAAGATGTCTATCATTTGGAGAGCAAAAAGTAGACTGAGACCACACTCTCACTTTACAGATAGCTACAAAGATTACATGAAGATAGGACAGTAAAGACATATCTTTAAGTTCCTGCCAACCTAATCAAGATGGTATTAACAGTGATCTCACACTCCATCTGTCTGGCTAGTAATTTATGAAAAATGTACTTCACTATTACAGGAAAAATATGTTGCACTGCTTGTGGCCACAAACCTACCACAGCAGCCCAGGAACTCTTGGATCAGAGGCCGAGACCACTTCTTGACATTTACCTGGTACTGCCAATGAGATGTGATTCATTCACATAGTGGGTTGGTTGGTTTGTTTGTTTTCCCTTCAGACAGATAAAATAGCTGACAAAAAACTTACAGCCCTTTGCAATTGATTGGGGGGGGGGGAAAAAAAATGGGGTGGGGGTGGGGGGGGCGGCGGGGCGGTGAGGGAGTGGATAGTGGTGGTGATGGTGTCATTTTGGAAAACTATCAAATCTTCCGATTTCCATCAAGGCAAAGCTCAGGGGTAGCACTTTAGTATCAGAATTACGTTAGATGACCTCTGGGTATCAAAACAAAAACACCAGTATCACACACTGGAATTAATTGCTCATCATGCATTTTTTTGCTTAGCAAAACTACTGTTTGGATCATCCTTCTAGTTGCTGCAGCAAAGGAAGATATGAAATGAAGAACATGGTAAAGCAGGACAAAAACACTCTACTGTAGTTCTACAGATGTTCTTTCTGCTGCACGTTGGGGAAAAAGTAGTTTCCTAAACTACTGACTGCTATAGATGAGGTTAAGATATTCAGAGCACTAACAAAGGAATAACAGCCTACGAGCTAGTCAATTCCTACTCATATGAACAACTTAGAGACATCACTGCTTTTTATGCTGAATAGCAATGAAGCAAAATGAGCCTCTAATATTATTAGAAGGCTTGCACACTCAATGTAATTTTTAAGACGTCTGTCACAATCAGAATATACAAAGTTTTCCTCTTCTAACTGTGGGACAAGACATGGGCTTGGAGCACAAGATTATTTTCTTACCAAATAAAATACCTAAATTATTTCGTATACAAAGGCTGAGTCCATCTCAAGAGTAACTTTATCAAAAAAATAAGAAAATAGGTAAATTCAGTCTCATTTGTTCCATCTTCAGGAATGCAGATGAAGGGAACTCTTCCCCTAAGTACATATGCTCTTGTGGCTCCAATACTCCTCTATAAAACTAAACATCTCCATTTACTGTATTGCAATATACTAATACAATTTTGAAAGAAATTGGGTAAATTTTCTAGCGTTCCTTTGAAAATTTCTAGCTATGATATCCACAACTCACACTCAGGGACATTTTTTGCCCCCTCAGTTTTGCTCCTCAAATTCTTTCATTTCTGTTCAGAAACACTCTTCTACCAATCTCACTTTGCCAGATCAAAAAAAAAATACAGATTTTTCTTTTAGAAATATTCTTGGAAAACAAGAAAACGAAATGTCTTCACTTAATCCAACAGATACACTCTTTGTAGCTTTGCTAATATATGCAAATTGTCTGATTGCTTGAAATTACTGATTAACCAGGCTGGAGAGCTGATTACCTGATTATCCAAGAGAAAAATAATTTAGCATGATTTTGTGTCATTTGACAGTCTAGATAATTTTCTAATTAATTTGAGTTTTCAAGTGAATTCAGAGATACTACTGAAAAAGAGAAAAGAGGTCAATGATCTGAATGAAGTTAAGCTTTCCAGGAATTTTCTTCTTACAACAATCATTTGTCAAACGCTGTTGTTAGTTACAGACACTTCAGACACACACACACACAAATGAGAACTAAAGACTTCCAAAAATATTCAAAAACCAACCCATGGTAAAATCTTCGATGCTCTTGTAAAGCTATCATGTAGAGCTAGATGTAAGATTAGTGGTGCACTAGTCTGACACATGGCATCAAACTTCCAGTGTTACCAATAAATTCTGAACTACACGTGAAGCAATATGTAGCAGATATTTTGTCTATATGCTGAGAGGATAATAAATACTGGAAATACGTACTTGCCACTGAAAAGTTGTTGAGTGGATATGGCAGATCCACATCCTGGGGCTTCTCCTTATAGCCTATGAAAGAGCCATCTGTCTTTAGCAGGAAATATCTTGGCCGCCAGTTTTTTATATATTCTCCTAAAGGAGAAAAAAAAATGGTCGTTAGTACCGTAGAAAAAAAATCCTTTGATATTAAAAAACATAACACATTATCAGTGTCTAACATTAATTATAGCAAAATCTTTTCAGACATTTTTAATTTGCAGCAGAGACCTTAACTCCCTCCAAAAGAAAAGAAAATGGAATTGCAGTGGTAAGCCTGGACTACACAATGATGCCTCTGGAGTAAGAAGCTACAAGCACTGTATAGTAATATTCTCTAATTCTAAATTTTATCACAGTATACTCTTCAAAATCCTACGTCTTTACACGTATAAACAGTTCAAAATTTGCTGCAGGCAAAAATAAGCACTACAGCTTGACTTTTAATGAGAAAATGAAATCTAAACTACTACAAGGTAGAACATTTATCCTGCTGAGCCAAAGCAAAAAACATTGATTTCCTCAAAACATAGACTAAGTAAATACAAGAAAATTGGGGGTAATGGAAGAACCTACACGAATCATACTTAACAAATATATCTGAAAGCAAAATAAATAAAAAAGACAATTTAGAAGGCCATTAACTTTTAAGAGGTAAATCCACCAATAAACCCACTACCTCCACCTTCCCCCTACCCCAGTCTGAGCAGAAGATTCTGCTAGCCATGAGGTATTCAGGACCAGAAATATACAGAACAGGTCAGCAAAGGCACTATAGCTTACTTAATGCCACTTATTTGCTATTTAAGGGTGAAAAATCACTTTAATAGCATTTAACTTAACAATGCCACACCAAAATCTCGGCAACAACTTCATTTTTAAGTACAATTACTCAGTTAAGTACAAGTGAGGCTAGATCTGCCCAACTTTGCCCGTCTTAAGGCAACTTCAACATGGTTTAGTGGGCATGGTGGTGTTGGGTTGATGGTTGGACTTGATGATCTTAAAGGTCTTTTCCAACCTTAATGATTCTGTGATTCTATCTTTGATTTCTATCAACGCTGCAAAGTAAATAACATATGTACAAGTACTTACTAAGGCTTTAAATACGTCACTGTTTCATCGTTATGCAAGTGAACATTTTAAGAAAAATGTGTATGTGACAATGTAGAATTTCCAACCGTGCCTAAGACTTCTCACCATTTGCAAAATGCTCAGAACTGACTACTCCAGGGGCTGCACTGGTCCTGGACTAAGCCCAGCCCTTTAGTGCCATTTACCACCTCAGCACCCTGTTAACTGTAGCTGTGTAGCTTTTAGACAATTCAAAGGTCAGAAAGAAGTTTACATCCATCTGACACAGAGATTACTCCGTTAAAGGCTAATCTAAAAATTCATTAATCGCATCTTCACCTTTCCATCAGAGCGATCAACTAATTGTCACTGAAGTTCAACATCAGAATTGCTAATATGGCCTTGTTGAACTTGATCACAACTTGTAAGTATTTTGACGATGCCCATGGCTTTAAAAAAAAAAAAAAAAATCTAACTGCAGCCATTAACATTTCCAATTTTCAACATGTATTTAAGCAGAGAAGCAAGGTAGGGAGTAGGAGATGGAGAAGAGGAAAGAGTAAGACAAATGAACACCAGGCTATTTGTGCTGACTTATGTTTCCTGGCCCTCAGTAGCAAGACTCCTCCTATTTAGTCCTGCTTCATAGACAGCAAGGTACCTGCTTGATTTTGTTATCTAGACATTTTCATAGAAAGAAAATTGAAGAAGTCAAAGTGTTACTTAATTTGACCACAAAATTAATAGAGCAGATACAGCACTAGTTACATTTGTATTGACTCAGAGCTTTCTATCTCAGATCTCTGCTGCTAGTTCAGTTGGGAACATCCTTACTGACACTGCCCGTCTGAACCGATTTTTCAATGGGAAATCCCAGCTAATGTAAAAGAAAACAATAAAAAACCAAACCAAACCAAAACAACAGGTATGACATATTTGTAAACTGGAGATGAAATACAAGTGCAGGATGGGTAAACAAATACATAACTTTAATACCAACAACGGTGAAAAACTATCATCGTTACATGAAAAGGTAAAGACATTTCTTAAATTAAGTGTGCTGAATACTTGAAAACTAAATAATCATAGGCCTAAGTAAAGGTGTGATTCATGTTTTAAGAACGTTTAAGATACGCCCTGTGACAAATTTGCCGAAATCTGCATGGACTCAAAAGTTGAATCCAAAACAAAACCTTACGTATCAGATCATCCAATGTAAGTTTTAAAAATGTTAAGATCCTAGTTGCTTTCTGAAAGTTAAACAGACCACAAAGAATCTTCAGTACAATTCTAATAAATTATATCTTATTTAGTTGTAATAGTAAGTGACTGTTATGAGATAACGTGCTTGTTACTGGCTTTAAAATCTATCGAGATCTTGGTCTTATCTAGAAGGTGTGTTAACTGGAAGGCAGGCACCTAAAACTGCTGAAGAAGAGTTCAAGGACAGCATGGAGAGAATATCAACATGCCTAAAACAGGTCAGCCATCAACGGTTCAGGTTTCAAAGAGAGTTCTCCTTTCCGTCAGGAATAAACTGGACAGGGAGATAAGCAGACTCTGCTCCAAGCATCAAAGCTGACAGGGTAAGTACACTCATCAGTCACTTCAGGAAAGAACAGAAGCCTTTGCTTACATATACACTCTCCAGAACTAAACCTGTAGAAAGGGAGATGGTTCTAGCAGGTGCCCTTAGAGACCCAATGCACATTTCCCTGATCACTTACTCCCTCTTCTCCTCTTAGGACAACACTGCAGACTGCATTTGGCTTCTACTAGGGATGCAGAGTCTCTTAATCAGAAAACAGAACAGATTTTTTGATCATGTACTGAGTTATGCTGCTGATGTTCTGCCTGGAGAAAAAACATTAGAAGAGTATGACTGAAGAGAGCTAGCAGCTTTGAACAAAAGCTAATCTCAAGAAGATATAAATATTGAATGACTGTAAGTACCAGTTTATCCACAAGCATAGCTGTACCTCTGTCTTCACCCTGCAAACCACAGCCAGACACAGCACATGTAATTTAAAAGCAATTGCAGAACACTATGGCTTCATAAGGATCCATATATTTCTTTCAGACATATTTCTTTGAAGAATGTTTCTTCCTAAATGGTTCCCCAACATGAATCACAGTCAGACTACTTTTTCCAAGATGTCTGTACAAACACACACACAGAGGAAAAAAACGAGTTTTGTCTTGAAATGACCAATATTCCAATCCCTCTTTAAGGCCCATACATGAATATTTATCATCTGCCCTTTATTTATTTTGTAATTTGACAAATGGGTGAACACTTTTGAAGACTAAAGTAAACAGTGGTATCAGTGAACAGTTCACTTAGCTGTTCAAGTGGTTTAATGGCTCTCAAGATGCACTCTAGGTGCTCTCTTATAACTGCATTCCTTCTACATAATCTGCTTAAAGATAGGAAAACATTTTTTCCCGTACTTCTTAACAGACATGTGCTTACTGAACTGCTTTGAAAGAGAAATCTCCATACAAAAAAATACTGTAACACAGCAGAGTACTTGAAAAAACACTTCCACGTCTTCTAAACTACCAACCCCGCATTAAAAAAAAAAAAGTATATTTTACAGTATAAGCAATATTTAATTAAAGATATTTGGAGTGTATGTTTAACAACTAACACAAGCAAACAACAGGAAATTTACATCTGAAATTCATTAATTCAAAAGAAAAGAAATTCCTTGAGAAAGGAGAAGTCCAGACAGTCTAACCAAACCACAAGATATCCTGACAATTTAATGAAATGGAGCTGCAGTACTTAAAAAAGCAGTGGATCTGCCATAGAAAATTAATCAGTTTGTACCCTGCTTCCTG